GGTAAGCCCAATCATTCTGCTGTTTTCAGACTGAGCAAATGAGACCTTTCAAGAAAATAACTATTAGTCCCTACAGATCATACATGGTATGAGGATTCAACTGATGTTTTGGGGTTGCTTTGCTGCTTCAGGCACTGGTAGCCTTTTACCATGTGTCCGATTATGAAATCTGAAGACTATGAAAAGAATTTCTGGGGTGCAATGTTAGGTGCCCAGTGTCAGGAATGTTGTTTGGTGGTCTTCCGTCAGAAGCCATGGGTCTTTTACAGTAGGACAATGCAAAGCACATGGTCTAAAAAGGGACCCATGAAATGGGTTTCAGCAAAGCGCTGGAGAGTACTGAAGAACTGGCCAGCCAATGAGTCCAGATCTCAGTTCATAGAGCACCTGTAGAGAGACTCTCAAAACAGCAGTTGGGAAAAGAATCCCTTCCAATCTGAGAGACCTGGAGCAGTTGGCTAAAGAAAAAGTGGTCCAAAATTCCAGTAGAGAGGTGTAAAGAAACTCATTGATGGTGAACAGGAAGCGATTGATTTCAGTTATTTTTTCCAAGGAGTGTGCTACAAATATTAAATTGAGTGTGCCAATAATTTTGCCCAGTCAGTTTTTATGGGGTTTTGCATGGAACATGTCAGATTTGTCTTTTTGTTTCTCCCCCTTTTTTAGTGTCATACCAATACAAACAAAGAAATAAACACGAGAATGCCTAAACATTTGTAATTGCAACTAGTTTCTGGGAGAAGTGGTGCATTATCTGACAGAGGTGTCAATATTTTTTGGCCATGACTGCATGTATTTTAGGTAAAATGCTTTGCTTTTATGTGTATTGTACAAAACTATAAGGGTCATTCCCTATTTCCTTGCTAAGCTTCAGAAGGGAGGAAACTGACTTGACTGTAGAGGTGATTCATGTGTTTATATATGTGAAATTGGGATCTATAAGTCATTTTCTACAGATCACATGCCTGCAGGCACAACTGTATAGTAATTAATATACAGTAGTAGTACTGAATCTGATTACCGATATTTTTTCGCTCCATAAGGCGCACTTTTTTCCCCCCAAAAAAGGGGAGTAAATGTCAATGCGTCTTATGGAGCGAATATAAAGCGGGCCGGTCTGGTATTTCCGCCGCCACCATGTCAGAATACCAGGCCGGCCCGCTTAGCTGTTCTCTGCAGCAGGAACTCACCTGTTCCCTGGTCCAGCGCTGTAGTCTTCCCCCGCGCCGGCTTCTTCCCACCCCGGCATCTGTGACAGCTGGGTGCCCACTGCGCATGCACGAGAAGTGCTGCACTTTGTGAATGGTCCGGCCCGGCCTTCTCTGGGACACATGACAGGTCCAAGGAGACGACAGGGCCATTCACAAAGCGCAGCGCTTCTCGCGGCATGTGCACGTGGGCACCCGGCTGTCAAAGCCGGGTGCCCACAGTATAGGAAGGGAGAGCTCCGCGGAAGTGTCAAATTCAGGTACCCCCCGCTCCCCCCTCCCTCCCTAAATGTCTGCAGTGGTCTGGTCATGCCCTGTACTGTCTGCAGTCCTCTGACCAGAGACTGCAGACAGTACAGGAGATGACCAAGACTGCGGTCCTGGTCATCTCCTGTCAGCAGTCTCTGGTCATCCATCTGTAACTGTCCTGCAGTCCTCTTGGTCATCCAACTGTACTGTGTTCTGCAGTCTCTGGTCATCCCCTGTACTGTCTGCAGTCTCTTGTCATCCCCTGTACTCTCAGCAGTCTCTGGTCATCTGTACTGTCCTTCCGCAGTCTCTGGTCATCCACTGTACTGTGTCCCTGCAGTCTCTGGTCATCCCACTGTACTGTGTCTGCAGTCTCTGGTCATCTGTACTGTCTACAGTCTCTGGTCATCTCTACTGTCCCGCAGTCTCTGGTCATCCACTGTTCTGTGTCTGCAGTCTCTGGTCATCCCCGTGTACTGTTGGCGCAGTCTCTGGTCATCTGTACTGTCCGCAGTCTCTGGTCATCTCCTGTACTGTCCGCAGTCTCTGGTCACCTCCTGTACTGTGTACCTGCAGTCTCTGGTCATCTCCTGTACTATGTCCGCAGTCTCTGGTCACCTCCTGTACTGTGTCTCCCCCGGCAGTCCTCTGGTCATCTCCTGTACTATGTATGTGCAGTCTCCAGGTCATCTCCTGTACTATGTATGCAGTCTCTGAGTCATCTCCTGTACTATGTCCGCAGTCTCTGGTCACCTCCAGTACTGTGTCTGCAGTCTCTGTTTCATCTCCTGTACTATGTATGCAGTCTCTGGTTATCTCCTGTACTATGTAAACCGCAGTCTCTGCAGTCATCTCCTGTTCTGTGTCCGCAATCTCTCTGTCATCCCCTGTACTAATTCGCAGTCTCTGTTCATCTCCTGTACTCTGTCCGCAGTCTCTGGTCTGGTCATCTCCTGTACTGTTGTCCGCAGTCTCTGGTCATCTCCTGTACTGTGTCCACAGCCTCTGGTCCATCTCCTGTAACTATATGTCTGCAGTCTCTGGTCATCTCCTGTCAACTGTGTCCGCAGTCTCTGGTCATCTCCTGTACTATGTCCGCAGTCTCTGGTCATCTTCTGCACTATGTCCGCAGTCTCTGGTCATCCTCCTGTACTGTGTCCTGCAGTCTCTGGTCATCCCCTGTACTGTGTCCCGCAGTCTCTGGTCATCTCCTGTACTGTGTCCGCAGATCTCTGGTCATCTCCTGTACTGTGTCCGCATCTCTGGTCATCTCCTGTACTATGTCCGCAGTCCTCTGGTCCATCTCCTGTACTGTGTCCGCAGTCTCTGGTCATCTCCTGTACTGTGTCCGCAGTCTCTGGTCATCTCCTGTACTATGTCCGCAGTCTCTGGTCATCTCCTGTACTGTGTCCGCAGTCTCTGGTCATCTCCCTGTACTGTGTCCGCAGTCTCTGGTCATCTCCTGTACTGTGTCCGCAGTCTCTGGTCATCTCCTGTACTATGTCCGCAGTCTCTGGTCATCTCCTGTACTATGTCCGCAGTCTCTGGTCATCTCCTGTACTGTGTCTGCAGTCTCTGTCATCTCCTGTACTATGTGTCCGCAGTCTCTGGTCATCCCCTGTACTGTGTCCGCAGTCTCTGGTCATCCCCTGTACTATGTCCGCAGTCTCTGGTCATCTCCTGTACTGTGTCCGCAGTCTCTGGTCATCTCCTGTACTGTGTCCGCAGTCTCTGGTCATCTCCCTGTACTATGTCCGCAGTCTCTGGTCATCTCCTGTAACTGTGTCCGCAGTCTCTGGTCATCTCCTGTACTGTGTCCGCAGTCTCTGGTCATCTCCTGTAACTGATGTCGCAGTCTCTGGTCATCTCCTGTATTGGTGTCCGCAGTCTCTGGTCATCTCCTGTACTGTGTCCGCAGTCTCTGGTCATCTCCTGTACTAATTCTGCAGTCTCTGGTCATCTCCTGTACTGTGTCCGCAGTCTCTGGTCATCTCCTGTACATGTCCGCAGTCTGCAGTCTCTGGTCATCTCCTGTACTATGTCCGCAGTCTCTGGTCATCATCCCCTGTACTAGTGTCCGCAGTCTCTGGTCATCTCCTGTACTATGTGTCCGCAGTCCCTCTGGTCATCACCTGTACTGTGTCCGCAGTCTCTGGTCATCTCCTGTACTGTGTCCGCAGTCTCTGGTCATCTCCTGTACTATGTCCCCTTGATCCGCAGGTCTCTGGTCATCTCCTGTACTAATGTCCGCAGTCTCTGGTCATCTCCTGTACTATGTCTGCAGTCTCTGGTCATCCCCCTGTACTATGTCCGCAGTCTCTGGTCATCTCCTGTACTATGTCCGCAGTCCTCTGGTCAAGCTCCCTGTAACTGTGTCCGCAGTCCTCTGGTCATCTCCTGTACTAGGTGTCCGCAGTCTCTGGTCATCCTCCTGTACTGTGTCGCCTCAGTCTCTGGTCATCTTCTGTACTGGTACTGTATGCTGCAGTCTCTGGTCCTCTCCTGTGTACTATGTCCGCAGTCTCTGGTCATCTCCTGTACTGTGTCCGCAGTCTAGTCTGGTCATCTCCTGTACTGTGTCGCGAAAAGTCTCTGGTCATCTCCTGTACTGTGTCCGCCGGTCTCTGGTCATCTCCTAATCCTGTACATATGCAGTCTCTGGTCAACTCGCTGTACTATGTTCTGCAGTCTCTTGGTCATCTAACCCTGTACTATGTCTGCATTCTCTGGTCATCTCCTGTACGTGTCTGCAGTCTCTGTTCATCTAACTGTACTATGTCCGTTAGTCTCATGATCATGTCCCCTGTACTATGTCCGCAGTCTCTGGTCATCTTCCTGTACTTGTGTCCGCAGTCTCTAGGTCATCTCCTGTACCTGTGTCCGCAGTCTCTGGTCATCTCCTGTACTATGTCCTGCAGTCTCTGATTCATCTCCTGTACTGGTGTCCGCAGTCCTCTGGTCATCTCCTGTACTATGTCTGCAGTCTCTGGTCATCTTCTGTATACTATGTCCGCAGCTCTCTGGTCATCCTCCTGTACTCTTGTCCGCAGTCTCTGGTCATCTCCTGTACCATGTCCTCAGATCTCTGGTCATCCTCCTATAGTACATATGCAGTCTCTGGTCATCTCCTGTACTATGTCTGCAGTCTCTGGCACATCTTCTGTACTAATGTCTGCAGTCTCTTCATCTCTCTGTCTGTGTCCGCCAGTCTCTGTTCATCTGGTGTGAACAGGCATCTCCTGTACTCCTGTCACTGTGTCTAGTCAGTCTCTGGTCATTTCCTGTACTAGTCTGCAGTTCATTGGTTCAAAATATTTTTTTTTCTTGTTTTCCCCTCCTCTAAAATCTAGGTGCGTCTTAATGGAGCGAAAAAATACGGTAGTCTCTCTGACCAAATGCAGTAATGGCAGCTCTCTTTTTGCAGCAGTAGCACAGGAACAGCAGCAACAGTCTCTGGAGGTCGCAGGACAGCAACAAAGCCTCTGTTGGACCTTTCTAGGTCAACAACACAGAACGGAGCAACCCAGTCTATGGTGGTGGGCTTAGCAAAGCAGTCCGAGTACTCACAGTTTTTGTGTTTGACCCAATACGCCAGTTCTGCACACAGGTCCCAGCTACTTAATACATTTCCCCAGTTTATCTCAGCACCACTGGACAGCTGGATAGAGGGAACACCCCCCCCCTCCCCCAGGCTCCTATGGATGGCACGCTCACTCTAAATCAAACCCTCTCAGTCCTAGCCTCCACATGGCTCCCCAAGCCATATCCCCCCACGTAGGCTTTTCTTGTTGAAACTATCTTACAGTCAAGCTGCCAATAAAACCAATAGCAGTCCTCTTCCACCTTGCTCCCACCTCAACTGGGGACACTTTCCCCTCAGGCACTGCCCACCAACTTTTGCACCAGAAGTTCAAAGTGACAGAAGTTGCAGCAAGAGTGGACTTTGTAGGGATCTGGTGCCCTCTACTGTTAACTGCTCGTTTATCACAGCATTATGTGTGAGAGACTAAAGCAGAGAATAGATATACTATATTGCCAAAAGTATTGGGACGCCTGCCTTTACACGCACATGAGAACTTTAATGGCCCTCTCAGTCCTTAGTCCGTAGGGTTCAATATTGAGTTGGCCCACCCTTTTGCAGCTATAACACCTTCAACTCTTCTGGGAAGGCTGTCCACAAGGTTTCAGAGTACGTCAAATGGGAATGTTTTGACCATTCTTCCAGAATGTCCAATGAACCGTCGCGCTCCAAGCCCGCTCCCTTATTTATCCCAATGGAGTGACCCCGCTATCAACAGAACAGCAGGCCGGGACTGAATTGCCCATTTAAGTTCCGTTACACTCCCAATATTAGATCATCCGCCATATCTCATGGCCCAAATGCTTCAGTTGCACTCATTTAGTCATATTACAAAAACCCACGCGGACCAGGGGGGGGGGAGGCCTATGACCCCAGCCTAACCCGCCCTCCCGACATATGGGGGGGCAGTGGCGTATGATCCTAGGGAGCGCACTATGGAGGGAGGAGCTGGGACCCCTTAAGGTTCCCCGTGATCACTGGGACCACTTTGGGGCCCCCCGAGCCACCCACCCACGTACAAAAAAAAAACAGCAGCCATACCAAGCCGGACATGACAGGTTACAAAATTAGGTGTATTGGGGAAAGGGTAGAAAGGAAAAGAAGAGTGTATGTGACTACCGGCGTGAGTACCCCGCCCACCGCAACCGACACAAACAACTAAACAAATCGATTCCCCCACCGCAACGGCGTGCGTGGCAGTAGCGAGAGCGCGTCCCCATCCCAACTCCAGAGAACACCACTAGTATCCCACTGCTCCTAGAGAGCGCGAGTGT